CAATCAGACAAGAAGTACGCTCATGTTTAGTGCTGAACAGTGACTCAATTTGAACGCAGAAACAATTTTCGAAAAGTTTTTTTGCCAACGCTTCACTCAATCAATTTTCGATAGCCGAAAAAATTTTCTGCCGAAAAATTCATTCAATGTGATTTGGTATGCAAATTCAGCGGGCTTACCATCGAAGTTCTATGCCGCATGCCTTCCGAGTTGCTGCGTCTAAATTTAACGTCCCCCAGTATTTCGCTTCGGCAGCATCCTTGAAATTTTGTACATTTTGATTTTCAAATAGGCAGTCACGGAGCACCATAGCAAGATGAAAGACACCGCCAATTGGACCTAATGAAGTGCAGTGAGACATGAGCTCATGAGCATCGGACAGCTTCGCAATATTGAGCGTCGAAACGAGGACCGATATTCCGGTTCGGCGCCAGAAATGAACGCACCGTGCCTGATAACCGGTACGGATTCCCGTCCGAGAAGTCAGCACCAATCTGTAGCACAGCAGCTAGTTTTTAATGGCATCGAAAAATGACTGTAATTAAATAATGACAGGTGCGCTGGGCGCAATAAATTCCACTACAAATAACTTTTCAGCGGTGAAACGCACAAATTTTATCATTTCGATTCCGACTGCTGATCACTTATACATACGCAGTCTGGAATCTAAACGAAATCCGAAGTGGGATTTCGCAAAGCCTTTCGAAAAACTGAATTCAACGAGATTATGAACACAACAGATGTTCAAAAAAACGAGCTATCGGTAGCCTGCCAATGGCGACTGAATGTGGCAATCGGTTGTAAAAACGCTACCATTTAAAGAGCTGGCCAGCATCTCATCAAGGTTCAAACAGTCGGCAGGCGGAGTCAGTGATAGTGCTTCCATTAAAAACAATCATTTTTTCTCAGCGGAATTAAATTTTCTTTCAATAATCACTTGGAAATATCAGGTTATTGCATAAAAGTGGAATTCACTGAATATTAATTATGCCTGCACAAGTTAACACAGATAGAAATTAAGTAATTGTCCTAATGATGGTATTGAGCCACTGACAGAAATGCATGCAAAGATGGCATACTTTTTAGCACCCCTGTTAATGAGCCATTGAGCAAGTTCTAAGCCAAAACCACCAAGGCCACCAGTTATAAGATACGTATGATTTGGATGACATAATGTTCGGCAAATAGCGCGCACTTTGATTGGTGATGGTATGCACATTCGTTCCGGTTCCTCTTGCCGAATTTCCATCAAAACCTTAAGAAGGCGACTCATCAGACTCATCAGACTTATCCTCTTTTCTGCGATAGAACATTCGACTAAAATGCAACACTAGCAACATTAGCTACCTTTCCGATATGTTTGCCGGCCGACATGAAACGAAATGCCTCTTCAGCTTTCTCACTCGAAAACGCGGTATAGGAGAGTGGCTGCACAATGCCGCTCCTGATTCCATCTTGCACCAACCGTGCAACTTCCTAAAAATGAATTTTTTTTTTCAGGAGCTACGGCGCTGCTTAATATTCACAAATTCTGTGAACCTGAACTCGGACATAAGCTCTGAATCATCTTAATACGAAGCTCATACCCGCCTGGATTAGAAGTCTTCAATTTTTCAAAACGCTCATTGACAACCGCAGAACTTGGAGCACCAATGAGTATGAATGCGTGGATGAAAACGAATTTTTGTGAACGTAATACAAATCATTGGCAACGCGCACCAGGCGAGGCCCGTGCGATCATGCGTTTTTGCAGCATTTCGTGCTGCAGTAAAAGTAGCCAAATTTTGTGGCATACTGGCCCTCGAAATTCAAGAAGTTAATTGTGCAACTACGTGGTACTTGGTCAGGGAATGTCTCTCGAAGTATCAGCTTTCTAGCTTTTGTGGCTCCGATTTAGCA